CAATAGCATTAAGCAACCTACGATGGCGTATGGTTATTCAAAATAAATGCATAAAATTAATTGAAAAGCCTTTAGAAAAATATGCTCTCGAAGTCTGCAGTTAATGCCCACAATGTAGGTTTGGTTGTCACTAATATTGAGATTTAATGACTTGAAGAACTTCTACAATAGATCATTACATAGTAAATGAAAGCAGCGGTTCTTTCAAGTGGTTCCAGTGTTGTAAACTGGAGAGAACGCTCAACAATTTATAGACTGCAGAAGAACCATGAAAGTGAATTATATCCACGAATTTATTCCATGGACATTTTTGTTAGAAAGTCTTTAGGAGGGTATTTTCTAATAGTTTTGGAACATGAACTTTGGTCCTAGCTGGGCTACTGCAAAATGTGTGTTACATGTAGCATTCAAATATCTTAACCACAAAATAATTGCCGGTGTTTGTTTTTGCAGTACTTCAAATTGTGCTGGTTATATTAAGGTACAAGCAAAAAAGATCGAATCCCTGCTAGAAATACTTAAGTGCCAGGTATCAGTGAATAAGATAGGCGTCTTGAATTTTATAATTTGGGGTGGGGGAAGGGGGAACTATTAAATGAATCTGTGAAATGAATCATCGTTAAATTCTGTTCCTTAAAGTGAACGGGATAGTAGCAAGATAACTCAAAGGATTTGACTTAAATGCGAGACAGTATAGTGTAGTGGCTAGAGCATTATTGGGCTCTGGGAGCTTTGGGTTTTATTGATGGCTCTGCTGGTGACCTACAGCATTTATCTTTATCTGTAAAGTGAAACTAATGAGCGTGATCTCCTTTGCAAGGTTCTTTGAGAGATTCTGATGAAAAGCACAGTGTAAGAATGGGGTATTTTTTAATTATTAAGGGAAAAGCCAACTAAGGCTACCTCAGTGCTTCTGATCCTTGCGTGCAACTGTATGGGATCAAAACTGGAGCAGTTCTAGAATTACATGCATGCCAGTCCCTAAGGCCCCTGGCAGATGTTCAGTTTAAGGTGCTATGGGAACCAGTCACAAAGTGGGTGTACGTATTTTGTGTAATAACTCTGTGGCTTGTTTCTTATTTCATTGTACCGTTAATTGCATGAAAGTGTGGCCAGGTTACTGCTTAAGACATGATGAACTGGTTAATAACGCCTTAATTGTAAAGTTTGCCAGGGGCCTTTGTAATTTACTGGAATAACGAGCAAACAAATGTACAGTCCCTGGAACACGGATGAAAGCATGGGCCTTACTCCAAAGTGCTCGAAGGGTGCATCTGTCCAGCTTCCAGAACAAGCTTGGAAGCAGTGCTGAGAAATTAGCCCACCTATTTGCACCTGCTTGTCGTGCACCCAAATCCACAAATTAGGCAGTGCACACAGCTCATGCATAGTCCTGTGCAACTTGAAACGACCTCAGCATCGTGCTCGGAGTTCCTTGCTTGTGTTGCTATGCAAGTCACTTAAATCACCCTTTTCACAGATGGTTATTAGTTGCGTGTTTGTCATTTTGCTGGGGCCCAACTTAAAAGCCTAGGGACTTATTTGAAGACTTGCTGAGCACTCACAGCTGCAACTGAAATCAGTAGGAGCTGTGCCTGCATTCACGAGTGGGGGGGGGGGGTTGTGGGGCTAA